CGGGAACGAAAAATACGGAATCCCCCTCGATACCTTGCAAAGATAAGTAGGCAATGATACGTTTTGAAGTTTCTAATAGTTGTGAATCTGATGGCAACACCGGTTTTGGCAATAGGGGTGTAATCTCAATGATAGGAGGCTCGGGGACTGCGCAAGGAAGGAGCTATAAGATGATAATGTATCTTTCCGTGTTCAAGCGGAAGATTCATTCTCGTTTTGAAGGAGGTAGGTGGGGCACGACTGAACACAGGGTGAAGGAGCGGGTGCGCCCGCCCATGTTCTAGCGGAAGGTACATTCGATTATGGTCATCCTAGTGATGAGAGAAGTGTGAAGTTAGTCGCGGGGTCGGAGACTTACCTGTTGGTCGGTGCGTACTCATCCCGGCGGCAGAAATTCGCACTAAGAAGAGGAGGTCAGCAAAGAAGATAAGCCAAGGGGCAGAGACTAAGAAATAGTGCAGCTCGGAACTCTGCGCTGATCTTCATGTGACAGGGAGGCTGCTGAAGTTACCACGCTGAGCTAGTCGGGAAAAACGTACGGATTTGGTTCAAATAGCGACTAGATACACAGAAGCGGAGGGCAGGTGGTGACTACACAGGAAGAGAGAAGGTGCATGGAGCGAGGCATGCTCACCTGGCGAAAAAGACTGATCAAGTGCGCTAGAGGGAAGGAGGACGGAGACAAGATAAGGAGGGATGTGTGTTGGAAAGTTGTGAGTAAGGTTGTGTTGGGGGTGTGAGGCTGTCATCTTTCTCGTCTTTAATGAAGATCGAGCAAGAAAAGGCGGTGGACAGAAGCTTTTCGACGTTGCGACTCGTTTGGTGAGGTCGGATCCGGGGGCCGGTGGAGCATTCTCACAGACCGGAGGTAACTCCGTTTGAACAGGATTACGACCGGATGTGTTTCACGGAGGTAAGAGAGGGAGAGGGTGATACTACCTGTGGAGTAGCAATATGGATTGGGCGGAAAGGCGAGCTTTAGAAGCGTGGCAAGATAAACTTTAGCAGTCGGTTGACGTCATGGAACGTGAGCAGCTACCGGTTGCTGTGCGCTGTCATCGAGGAGCTGATGTGTCGCTGCTGACTGAGCTTTGTTGTGGCGCCATGTATTGCTGCTGCGCTTGACCAAGGCTAGCACTATACGCCACTGATCGAGGCACGGTAATATTTGGGTTTTGATACCGCAATCTGTTAAGATAGAATCCGACCAATGCACCACTCAGTCTGTTGGGCGGGGGCAGCAACAATCGTGGGGACTGCGGGATTGCTAGCTAACGAGTGTGCTACTCGGTTTGTTGTATGGGATAGCATGGAGGGGCGGTTGGGTTGTTATAAGAGTATATTGCTGCGAACCGGAAGGCCGTAAGAAGGTCGGCAGACGTAGTTTGACCTTAGTTTGACCAAGTTGCAGCTACGTTTCGGCCACGATTGCGGGGTCTTTCGGTGCTTGAAGATAACAAGGCCCTCTCACGCGAGTCTGAGAGCACCCTCCTTGGATCTGAGAGACTTAAACTTTCTCTTTCTATCTTTCTTACTCTAAATCTAGTCCTGATCTGAGAGAAAGGCAGTAGGCGGGATTGCAACCCGTAGGACCGTAGCAAGACTCTGTGGGGAGTCAGCCCATCAATTGCGGGAGCTCTGCCAGAACTTAGGAGGGGTTGGAGGCAGGGAACTAAGAGGTAATCATTGCTTCTCTTCTATAAACCCAGTTATAACCCTTATCTGTATTCCTTGTTATACTTTGACTGAATGTACCGCATGCCCCTTTACTTTAATTTTTTCAGTTTGACTTTCAAGACACAAACCAGACTAAGTAAAGGAATGTATGTGCAATACCAGTTTCAGTTTTATTGTTTGATTGAAAGGAGATTGTGGGATTGCATCTAGGGGAAGGATGGGAGAAAGGTAGTATTGCTTGAGTTTGACTGGGTCTATCAAAGGTTGGGCAAGTCTCCATAAGTTTGGGGAGGCCCAGTGCTATGTTTATTTTGAATTGCCTGGAGAACCAGACATGTTCCATAAGTTTTGGTGGTCTGGTTGCTCTGACTTGTGAGGGCTGAATGTGAATGACTTTTCAGGGACCAAGCATGTTTCATAAGTTTGGGTGGCTCAGCCTCTTCCTGTTTTGGCTTTGAGAGAAATGAATCAGGCTGAGGACCAAGACATGTTCCACAAGTTTATGTGGTCTTGGTCCAACGCCACACACATGCTGGAACCAGAAGGTTATAATTTGACTATACATTATTATTATATTAATCTATGAACAGGCTAGTCAGACATGGTTCCATAAGTTTGGGTAGTCTGACTATAGCTTAACACCAACTGAAGAGAGTACTAATTAAGAATAAGCTCGTGGTACGAAGGGGCTGACTGAATCTTGAGCTAACGATGATTGGTTCAATTGTATGCTACCTCAAAAGACTAAGTGCAAACAAATATATTAAGTTGGGATATTTAAACAGTTCAGGGAGACAAGGGTGACCTAGTTATATGCTCAAAGAAGAGAAAAGTTGTTGCGCTCTGTGTTTGTGTATACTCCATGACTGAGTTAGACATGTTCCATAAGTTTGGGTGGTCTGGATTTATGCCTTATGTAAGTTGGGTATAAATTGATAAATCATTATGAGACTATGAACTATTGTTTGATAAGTTGACTTTGGGGAGGTGAGAGTACTTACTTCAGGGGTTTGATCTGCATGCGACTGAGTGCGACTACTACTTAGTATGTGTTTCAGTTGATAGGTAGTTGCTTTAGTTACTCGCCACGTGCTAGAGCCATAGGAGTTAGTTTCAAATTCTTGCATTTTCTTAGCTAAGTTTTTTTTACTTAGGTCAATTTCTGCATTTTCTAGGATCTTTTATTATACTTGGTCTTGTAAAAATCTTGGTAAGTCGATTTCCCTACTGGAAGCGCTGCCGAAATTTCTACAAAACCAAAGAGTCGGTCAGATTTTGTCTTTATCAGGGTCCAACTTTTCTGACTTTTTGGCTTAGTAAAAATTCGGAAAACCTCATTTTCTAAAGGGAGTGTTGCCCAAATCTTTGCTAATTCAGGGAGTTAGACAAAAAATGAACATTGAAAAGTCAAAGTCATTTTAGATTCTGAACCTAGTTTTGTATAAATCTTGGAATAACACTTTCTCTACGGGAAGTGCTGCCAAAAGTTTTACAAAACTAAGGAGTCAGTTGAATTTTGTCTTAGTTGAACTCAGGTTTTATGTTTGAGTTCACATCCAACTTAGTATAAATCTGGTAGTCTACCTTTCTAAAAGAAGTGCTACCCAAATTTTGACTAATTTAGGGAGTTAGACAAAATTTTGTCTCTCCAGAGCTGAAGATCATTTTTTTTTTCATATTTGAGTTATTACAAATTATGAGAAGACGTTTTTCCTATGGGAAGCGCTGCCGAAATTTTTTTAGTTTAGAGGAATTAGATTATATCTTGACAGGTGGTAATTCTGGCAATCCCCTCTGCATAGAGGAGGTTCTGTCAAAGATCTGCCTTTTCATTAGGCACTGACTTAGGGGTAGACTCAAGATTAGTTAAGTTGAATGATTCTTGGTGAAATCGTGATATAGAGATAACTCTCGATTTGGACTTATAGTTCTAGCATGGGAATTGGTCTGTCTTGTGTTACAGGTCCTCTTGATCGCTTGATTCAATATTTGGGCTAGATTCAGTATGATCCTACAAATATAATTTTATCTTATCATTGATAACAAGTCGGTTGTCGATTCGTCGGTCTACGACTCAACTCCAATTCATCCTCAATACTCAACCTAAAAGGTTTTAGCCCTGGTGATTTTATTATTTTATTAAGTCTTCACCCGGACTTTTATTGAATGATTATTTAACAAAGGTACTGAGTATTTAATTATGGTTGATTCGATAAAAGTTGGGGTTTGCATCACTAAAACGAGGGGTATGAGTATATAGTTTGGTTGAAGTCGACTCCGTATAGTGCGTGAATTTTTTGTTGACTCTTTGATGTGATTGCAGGTATGTACTGTGGTTCGGATTTGGATTTGATTGTCTGCGATCACACATATATATATGGTTGTGAGGAGTCCTACTGTGATTGTGATAAGTAATCGTCACATACTTATTCCCTTTTACATGTATATACGTATGTACCTATGTTGGGTATTCGCGTGGCCTGAAAGGGTTCACGCTTAAGGGCTTAATTGGGGTTGAGACTGGGAAAGGGAAAAAAAACCCTCTATGTGTTGTATGCTTCTTAAAGATTTCTTCGTCGGACGTTGGTCCTGGGCCCGGATTGAAGGTCCTTGTCCAGGACATCCTATGTCCTAGACTCTGCATGGAAAGGATTTCCCCCCGCGCAAGCCTATTTGCCTTATCGGCCGAGACACTCAGCCAAAAGGTCAGAGGTGTCGCGGTGGCCGCACGACTATTCCTTCAGCCGTGCAATATCGTGAAGAGGCAAACCTTCACGACACTTTGAGTCTGACACTTGAGTATCATAAGCAGTACTCGGATCCACGAAGGACCGCTTGATTATGGGCACTACTTAGTACGCCATCATTGTGACTGCATGCGTATTCATGCATTGCTAGTCGATATGGGAAGACTCTGCGCCCGCGCGATTTTTATACTAAGTCTCTCGCGCGATGCCTATCCGATTTCCGCATCGGAAAGTTATGGGATGACCAGTAAGGGACTAGGAGTGTTGTCGCGTTGTTTATTATGTGTCGTTCTGTATATGTATGTGTGTGTTTTTATTTTTTTTTAATGTTCTTTAGAGCGGTGTGCGCGTGGAGTGTGGGACGCGTCCTACTCGACCGGCGACGAGTCACGCTTGGAACCTTAGCCCCCCAAAAAGTCGGTTCGCGTGTGGGTCTAATAGAGGTATAATACCGCGCGTACCCCCTATGCTACAACGTATGAAAAACACCCTCGGTTGGTCCACCTCTGCGATTGCACCTGATTAGCTTTCGTATTGTAGACTGGTAGCTCGGCGGGGATACGCCCACCGAAGGGAGGTGATAGCTCCCGTGAGGTGGAGGTAAGTCGTGCCTCGCATAGGCCCTATCCTGTCGTAGGGGCTCGCGAGAGGTATGGCTGGCACACTCGGCTGGAGCGGCTTACGGAAGCTCCATATGCATTTGCAATGAGAATTAAAACCAACTCCTGAGTGACGCGGTCAGGAGGGTCCCGCGCTGCCTTGCGCAGTGCCGGACCGATGCGCTGGACAGGTGACGCCATTGCTGGGGATAGCGGAAGCCTACCGTTATCCCTGGTGGAACGACATCCGGGTATGGGAAGACTAGGCATGAAGTAGGAAACTTTATAAGAGTGTAGAATAAAGGCGTGTATGATCTTCAATGGCTTCTTATGCGTGTCTATGCCATGAGGAGACCATAAGAAGAGACTTAGTAGACCCAGCTGAGATTGACATAAGCATGGAAATGGGGTATGACCTGTTAGGTTTGGACCACCGGTTAGCTATAGCAGGGGTCTGATGAGGAACGTGATATGATTGGGTTGCTGAATGAGGTGGTATGTTCTTCTTAAAACAGGGAAAGTCGAGCAAGGACAGTCCGCCAAGATGTCTGGGGTTATAGCAGATGGCGAGGGGAAGGTCCTGACACAAGAGGACCTCATTGAGGCCATGGACAGACTGGAAAGGACGCTGAGTAATGTCCCCAAGGTTGATACATTTCATTTTAATGGAGAACGAGTTTCTGATTGGCTGGACTTGGTGGAGCAAGCTTTGGTGAGGTTATCAGATGCGGTGAAGTTCCAGCGTATTCTGAAGTGTGTGCTTCATGGCCACCACCAGGAGTTGGAGAAAGTTATAAATGCAACCAATGGTAGCTGGGCAAGGTTCAAAGATGGGATGCAAAGAAAGTATAGGTTGGGCGATGGGCTGCTAACCACGACGGATTTTGAGGCCATGAACAGAGACGACTTCACCACTGTGGGAGCCTTCGTGCAAGAATTTAAGAAGAAGGCGAGGAAGGTCCCTGGAATTTCTAAGGAGGCACAGTGTGCTATTTTCCTCGGATTGTTCACTGCCTCGGAGGCATCAGAGCTGACGATCCGTGGAGGAGGAAGCGCGAAGCTCACTTGGGCAACTATCGAAAAAGGGGTCGAGGAAGAAAGTTTGGACCAGGTGGAACAGCATCAGATGCGCCTGCAAAAACGAAAGAGAAAAGAATGGGATGTGACCGCTTCAGGGACCTCGGGAGTAAAAAGGATTGTCATCGACGTACTTGCAGAGTTGGGCTATGGAAAAGACGTGGTGATACAAAAGAAAGTCGTAACAGTAATCCAAGGAAAAAGGAAAGTTCCAGTGATAGAGAAAGACGTCCAAGAAGAGTGGGAAGAGGAGGAGTCGGTGCCCCAACACCTCTCGAAGGCGCTACGTAAACAACGCAATCTGACGCAGGGGGGGCAAGGCTCAGGAAAGGGGCAAGCGCACCAAGCAGTGGTAATAGCATCGCCAAAGGCGTCGGCTCCGTCAAGTAGTGCGGGACCCTCACAAGCAACGGTACCGCCGTTTGGGCAGTGGCCATGGCCTATGTTTAACGCCTTTGTGCCATGGGGAATCCCGGCTTCATCTGGGCAGATGATACCTTATGCTGGGTTCCAAGCCAGTATGATGCCGCCGAGTTATCCCGCCGCTCAGGCCCAACCCATGGTACGGCCTCCGTCACCCGCACCTAACTCACAAGGAAGTGTGGCTGGGAGAAGTAACCAAAGTCAGGGCAATTAAGGGAATGGAGGAAAGGGCGGTGGAAGAGGGCGTGGCAGAAATGGCGGTGGGCGAGGAGGTCAATGGGACAACCAAGGCTACCAGGGCCACGGAAATCAAGAAAATTAAGGGAGCCAGGGGAGCGAGAGAACCCGTTTTGATTGGAGAACCGCCATATGCCATCATTGTGACAAACAAGGTCATACTATACGATTTTGCAATATTAGGCGGGAAAATGAAAGAGTGGGACTGATCTATTCAAATATGGATGGCGACATATACGATCAGTTCGGGGAATACATTTACAGAAAGGTTTTGGGTGGAGTAAGGACGGAGGCCCAAAGAAGGGTAGCTGCGCGGCAAGCGCTCCCTGCCACATTTAGATTGTGGCAGGAGAAGGATGATCCACCAATTAGGGTGGAAGAAGTGGAAAGTGATAAGGAGGTGACTCAGAGGCTACAGGCGGGAGATATAAAGGAAGAACCCATAGTCTTTGAGTCAAATGAGGAAGGCGAAAATGAGAAGGTGGAGCACACATCAATCCTTCTGGGAAGATGTAAGACGTGTGGGGAAAGATGGGGAGATACCAACATAAGTTGGTAGACCTTTGTGAGGAAGTAAAGGGATGGAGGGCTAGTGTCCCCAAAGTCGTTCTCTACGAGTCTGGCCCGGAATCAATGTCAGGGCGACCCGGAGTAGCTACCGTGGGATCAGGCCCGCGGTCTAGACCCCCTACGACGCAAGGAAGACTGGCACAAGCGGCTCGTACTAGAGGCCAGGCCAAGGCCAGTGCAAGCCAAGAACCTCCGAGGAAGGAGCCAGAGCCAGAGAAGAGAAAAGAGGCCGTAGAGGTAGAGGATGATGATGATGAGGAGGAGGAGGAGGGGGAGGACGAAAGGTTGCGCCAAGAAGAGGACCAGAGGGCGGAGCAAAGGGCTAAGAAGAGAGAAGGTCGGGAAGAAGCTGAGCCAAGTCTGCGCGATGTGGCACTAAAGAAGAAAAAGTATGAGGTCCGATTGGAGGAGGGATTCGACGTGGAAAGGGTGATTGATAGGTTGTTGGAGGGCCACAACGACTTGATGATCCTAACAAAGATTTTGGCGTCGTCCCCTAAGCTCCGTGATGGATTAAAGGGAAGATTATCGTGATGCCTTGTGCCGACATTCATTTGAGTGTGATTCTGCCAAAGGAGGCAGAATGGGTGGAGACGGGAACAAAGATGGACTGGAAGTGTGTGGCATGCGGTATGGTGGATTTGGTGGTAAAAGGCTCCAAGTGCGCAGCAATGGTGGATACAGGAGCAGAAATGAATTTATCCGAGAAGCTAACGCACTCAGGTTTGGGTTGAACATAGACCGCTCGGATTGCGGTATCTTGCATGGAGCTAACTGCAAGGCAGTATTTTGTGGAACATCCTCGAATGTACTTATCGAGGTTGGGGGAGTGAAAGTCAGGGCATGCTTCTTTGTCATGCCAACCGTGGACCATGGCATTCTCCTGGGAAGGTCATTCTTATGCAGGACAGAAACGTTGATGTTCAATAAACACGACAAAACTTTGATCCTGATTATGTGTGATCCGGTGTGTGGGAATTATGAAGTAATCACTTGCCGGAACACCGGTCCACGGAGTATAAGAAACCGGTCGAATCCCGACTCGTTTACAATCGAAGAGTCCGAGGAGGAGCGTCGAAGGCTCGTTATAGAGCCAGAAGAGGAAGAAAAGCGTGAGGCGTTTTCCCTCAGTCTATCAGACGTGAACAAGGCCATGGATATAGTGGTCACGCATGAGATGGCGGATCCAGACGCCATTCAGGCATTGAGGGAGCAAGTCCTGGAATGTCCCCAGGCCGGGGAGCTAGAATTGATCTATCGGCTTTCGGGCGGAAGGAGGGGCTCTGTGCTGATGCAGGCACAAACAGTAAGTCGGCCTTTTTAGGGGACGGCTCAAGCAGGGTTCCCAAAGACGGTACAAGACGATAGATGAAAAGTGTCGCCCAGTTCTCGTACTCATCACAGAAGATGAGGAGGTCTACTATGAACGAGAACGAGGATTGATACGATGTATGAAAGAGCAAGCGACAGAGGGGCTGTGTCGTATCAATGAAGAAAATGAGGACAAGTTGATAGTGGGAGAGTCGGAGTTCCTGCTACCGCGGGAGAGGGCACTGATGATAGAGCTAATGAAGAAGAGGCATCGCGCCTATGCATTCAACGATGATCAGCAAGGGTGATTGGACGTGGACAAGATCCCCATGATCCGGATACATACCGTGCCGCATGAACCATGAAATTTGAGAGGGGCACGGTATCCCAATCCTAACGAGGAGAATAAGGTAGTGGATTACCTCGATGGCAAGATACGTACGCATGTCTCCGACTACTCGAGTGGACCTTACGCGTCTCCATGGTTTTGTTTTATTAAACCTAACGGAGCGCTGCGATGGGTGCAAGATTTGCAGCGGCTGAATGAGGTGATTGTCCGAGATGCGGGAGGTTTGCCAAATGCAGACACGCTGTCGGAGTCCTGTGTTGGGAGACCTATTATTTCACTTATAGACGTTTACTCAGTGTACGACCAGTTTCCAGTCTACCCGCCGGACAGACCAGTGACAGCGATGCATACGCCCAGAGAACTGATTCATATGAATGTGGTTCCATAAGGATGGACTAATGCAGTGGCAATGGTTCAGCGACACATGATTCGAGCCATGCAATCAGTCAGCCCGCACATCACTCAGCCGTATATCGACGACTTGACAGTAAAAGGCCCGAAAGAGAAGGAAAGTGACGAAGTCTCCCCCGGAGTAAGGTGTTTTGTTTGGAAGCACGGTCAAGATCTAGACAAAGTCCTGAGCTTGCTTGAGAAGCACAACCTCACGGCAAGTGGAGCCAAATCCAGACACTGTATGAGCGAGGCTACTATCCTAGGGTTCGTCTGTAGTGAGAAGGGCCGTCGGTCGGACGTAAGAAAGACGGACAAGATTACCGAATGGCCAGTACCATTCCATTCGATAACTGATGTTAGAAGCTTCCTCGACACATGTGGGTTCTGGAGGACCTTTGTCAAAAACTTTGCCGCCAAGACTGAACACTTGAGAAAGTTAGTTCGTCAGGACCAAGAGTGGATCTGGGGTGAGGAGCAGAAAGAGACTCTCGTTGTTCTTCACTGCCTCAGGATCTTCAGAAACTATATCTTTGGCAGGAGGTTCATACTAAGAGTGGACCCAACCGCGCTCACATATTCATTAAGAAATTATGTTTCATCGGATCTAACTGTCGTCAGATGGTTGACATACATCTGGATGTTTAACTTCGAGTTGGAGAGGATCCCCGGAAACAAGAATAGAGCGGATGGGTTAAGCCCCATCGACTGGGACCAGCAGAAAGAAAAGGCAGCAGAGGCTGCGCCCCCAGTTGATGGGTTCCTGGATCAAAAGGAAAATGTTCATCTTCACATATATAAATGGTGTTTACGAGTATCGAAATGTGTTGACCATCCCATTTGGATTGCACCCCAGAGGTATGAACATTGAACAGAAGGTAAAACTGGTGCTCAAGCCTTTTGAAGAAGAGGACCCATGGGGCAGCAAAGATGTCCAATGGGTGATGAAGTTGGCACTAGCAGACACGAACAGTCTGATGGAGGAGGTAAGCACGATAGAGGAAGGACCAGACCAGATGGAGAAGCACGAGGAATTGATGAGAGGGATGTATCTCCTCGTCAATACACTTCTGTAGGGAAACTTTGATCACATAGGCTCGCTGAATCCGGCTGAGAGTAAGGATGTGGTGCCAGAAATTCGGGATGACGAGTTTGAGGAGGGAGAGATCAAAGAGGCATTCCGTGCAGAGGAGTATGAAGGAATCTACGCGGAGTTGGGGCTTCTCCTATCGTGCGAGATGCGGGATTGGGATGTAAGCGAAAGAGCTCAAAAAATGAGACATCTTTATTTGGTATGAGATGGTCATCTTTTTGTAAAGAGGAAAGTGGAAAACCCCAGGAGGGTTGTGTGTGGCAGGAACCGTCAGGTTGATATTATAGTTGCGCTTCATGATGGCATCGCGGGAGGACATCGAGGAGTTCGCGCTACGTATGCCAAGATAAGCGAGCTATATTACTGAGATGGAATGATGGAGATGGTTAGCAAGTTTTGTCGTTCCTGCGTACTTTGTCAAGAATGGTCTCCTCTGAGGCCGGGAGAGCCGCTGCATCCAAGGATAGAAAGGGAAGTGGGGGTCGTAATACATCTCGATCTACTCTTTATGTCAATCAGTAATCATGACTACAATTATATCTTCGATGCGCGCGATAATCTTTCTGGCTTTGTAGATGGATGGGTCATTCGTACAAAGACCAGATCGGTCTTGGTAAGCTGCATTGAGGAGTACTACCTACGTTATCCCTTTGTCAAAGAGTTCGTGATGGATAGAGGGTCGGAGTTTACCTGCCAGGAGGTACAAGAGTTGTTGTCAAGGTACGGCGTGGTAGCAAATTACACCACGGTCGCACACCCCCAGACAAATGCTCCAGTTGAAAGAGGACATAGCACCATTACGAACCTTCTGGCTAAGTGGACTGAAGGTAGGCCTAATCAGTGGCCAAGATACATGAGGGCAGCATTCTTTGTCGAGAATATTACGATAAAGAGGACCACTAAGTATGCACCAGCCACGCTATGGTACGGAAGACACGCCACCTTCCCTATTGAAAGTTTCCTGCAGACCTTGAGGCGTCAGGACTTGGAGGTCAACTTGTCTCTTGAGGAATTGCTCGATATTCGAGCGCGGCAGGTGGGTGCGATAGAGGAGAGGATTCAGGAGGCATCCAACCAAGTAGAGAAGAGCCTCATGGAGGATAAGGCTCGTTGGGACCAGTTGGCGCGAGTACGAAACGTACCTCTGGCAGTTCGAGACATCGTCAACAGAAAAAAAAAGAGTGTGTTAACACTAAAGTTTAACGGGGACCTTTGTGTATAACATCAAATTTTAATCAGTTTATAAATTGTTTATCATCATGTTCATGTTGATAATCATGAAGGGGGTTAGCCTATATTTATAATCAATGATCCAAGCGGATCTCATCGTTTGACCCTTTTTTAACTGTTTACAAACAGTTCATCAACTGTTTATCT